CACATCCTGGCTCCACCCCTATGTGGATGGAGCAGTGACACCAATCCAAGCACTAGACTAACAACCATCACAAATGAACAATGCAAACTCATAAGGCCTGGGGGCCACAGATATAAACCACGACAACCCTCCCAGTTAGAAGGCTTCTAGTTTTTTAAAAAGCTTTAAAAAGATGAGTCTTTGGGTGGTTGGAGGTCTGAGTTGGAATTGCCCAGAATTCAGTGGGTGGGGTTTCTAAGCCAAAGGAGGAGAAAACCATGGAGACATAGGTGTCTTTGAATAGTCTCAGGGAAATGGTAGAGATTGGAATCTTGTGTCTCCTGAGAGGCCAGGCCAAAGGGCTAGTTCCTCATGCCTGGGAGAAACAAGACCTAGAGAGAGGATTTATGGGCAGATGGATGGGAGAAGGGGCAAGGTACTCTGGAGGAGATCTAGAGACTCCCTGGACTTCTATGTGTTGACTGCCTGCATTATAGAAGACAGCTGGTGTTGTTTGCAAGGGCGGTGACAGCAAGGGTGGCCTTATGGGTAGGTGGCCTCACACAGGGCCCCTGAGTTTCAGCACCAAGTGTTTAGGTTAATTAAGACCAAGAGATGGCCAATCAAGGCAGAACTTGAAACACAGCAAGTATTGTAGTACACTGGCAGCCCGAAATAGACTTTCACCATGCCCTAGGAGGCCGTGCAGAAGCTTGCAAGCCTCATGGGGTGGATGGAGTTTGGGCTGGGGTGTGGAATGAGGGATGTAGTGAGGAAATCAGTAGGTATTAAATAGAGAGTAGAAGTCAGATTGCTGGGAAGATTTAACCTAATGCTGCTCATAAATGCAAAGGGCCTGCTGCAGCTGAATTCTCTCAGTATTGTGGGGGAGGAAAAGAAGCTTGTGTTTTGTCACCAGACTGTAATCCCAATAGTCTTGGAGGCTGCAGTGAGAGATGGCCACTGTCAGGCCAGACATATAGTTTCAGCCTCTTAGCATGTCCATGTCTCAAAATTTAAAAAAAAAAAAAAGAATTAAAAAGTACTAGGGATGAATTTCAGTGCAAAGGCCCTGTGTTGTAGTGTCCAGTACAGGAGAAAAACATAGAAAAACAAAACAAAAAAAATAAATAAAACCCAAAATAAAAAACCCTAAATAACTAAACTGTTATGGAGACTCTTAACCAAACCATTGAGCTTCACCCTGTTGTCAGCCCTGAGTCTCTCGGTACCAGTGAAAGAATGAACTGCCCACAGATGTCTCCCTAAAGAATCTAGAGGTGGTGAGGCCTTAGTCTTACATCAGCAGCATCATGTCTTCAGAGAAAGAATTCCAGTTTCTGAGGACCTGCCAGGGGCCCAGGTGGAAACCTTGAGTGAATTCTTAAGGTTACGCCACCCCAAACCAGAGAGTGCACCACGGTATCTAGGACCCATTGTGTTTGGGATGTCCCAGGCCTAAGGTGTTTCAAAAATCCCTTGTGGGCTATGTGAGTAAGTAGAAGACTTTCCAGACAATAGATAAGCAGCAGCATATTTATAGCCACTTTCCAATATGAACGGTGCATGTGAAGGCTGTGAGAATATGAGCAGCTGACAGAGAAGGATCCCAAAACCTCTTCCCTTGCTGTCAGCTTTGGGAGACCAGCAGAACAAATAACAGCCTGAGGAGACCTCTCATCTCCTCCTGACAACACAAAAAAATGTAGGTTTTGTTCAAAGTGTACAACTGGATTCTGTCAGGTTCATATAATTAGTGCTGGCTTTCCAGAGATTTTATAAAAATATATCAGGTGAATAAATCTCAGACCTGTGAGGATGCAGGGACCCTGACTGAAGATCATCTAACTACACACACTGAAATAAAGGACCCTGCTGAGCCTCTACACAAACCCTTTGGTCAACTCTGGGGAGAACATGGGATGGAAACAAACAGGTCAGATAATTTCATGTTGTCCTTGTCTTTTTATTTTTAGAGCAGAGACAGCTTCAGTCTGAGAGAGCATGACCAGATCATCAGGCAGAATTCCTAGGTAATTCAGGGATTAAAGTTAAGAACCCTGAGTTAGTAGTGAGGGAACCACTCTGGTTGGAACACATGCAGCCCCGCCATGTGTTGTCCACCATGGGATGTTAAGCCACATATATGTAATATCCCATCAGTTCCTCCTAGGTTTTCTTTAGGAGGGGAATCTTTAGCATAAGGAGGGGATAACAGGTCAGCAATTTAGGAACGTCATACAGGAGCAGGTGCTAATGTGTAGAGACTGAGTAAACGCTAAGCATCTATTTATGATACTATGTTTGGGGCCTTCATAACTCCACTCTGGCTCTGCATTAGTCCATTGGAAACTCCTGGTAGAAATGGTTGGAACTTTTACAATCTCATTTAATTTTCATGCTTCTTAGGGAAGTCTTTGTATCAAAGGCTCCTCCGGTCAACATAGGAGTAAGTGCATAATGGCTTCTCAGAAGAGAGGTGAATTCAAAGACCAAAGCTATGACCCACCTCAGTTCAAAAAGGACCCAAATCTCTATTTCTGCTATCAGTTCAGGGTGTCTCAGGCATGCATCACCTGAATAGGATTTCTTCTTTTCATTCCTGGACTTCCAGGGAGGGCAGTATTTTGCTGTGTAGGGTCCACAGTACATCAGGTGAGCTGAAGAATGAGTGGGAAAGCCTACCAGGATCAGCGTGGGACCCTGAACAAGTGTGAGGACTCTATCTGCTCTTATGTACTGGTCTTCCCTTTGGTGTGATGACTGCTAAACTGCCTTTGATAGATGTATAAGACATCTTTTCCCTCGCTTCATAGTAATCTCATGAATGTGAGGCCCTTTTGTGGTAGAAGTGATGAAAGTTATCAGAATTGGTGACTGCAGCTCAGTAGGGAAGGATTAAACACTATGAGCCCAGGAAAGCAGCATTTCAGAAGGCAGGATCTGATCATTGCCCTGCTTTGATGTGCTTGGAGCTGATAAAAGCACAGGGCAAGCCTGTCAGGCTGAAGTCTCTGTTCTTCATGCAAAGTAAATGTAGATTTATAAACATTTGTGTCTGAAAAATTAACTTCACAGTTGTACCTTGGTTTAAGAGAATAATTTCTTTTACAATTTAAGAAAGGTGGCTGCACTTTTGTTTCTGTGAGGAAGACGGTGTCGTGATCATGTTTGTCATTTCATGCTGAGTTTCTGAAAGGAAGCAAACATTGGTTGAATGCTTTTGTTTGTGAAACCAAGTATTTCAAACAGAAGCATTCATGAATGGAAATATAAGAGTGCACCTGCAAAAGTTGTGTTACTCAAGGAAAGTCACAGAATCAGGACAATAGGACATACACCTCAGAACATAGTGATCCTGATGGAATTTAGTGTTGCTCTAGCACTTGGGAAACTGAGACAAATACATTTGCATGTGATGTTCCTGACTCTTCCCAAATGGTTATAATGTCATAAGTAAGTAGTAAAAGTCAGCAAAATCAGTTTCAAGGACAGAAGGTATATCACACATTGCAAAGAGCATTTGCTTTAATAGAGCAAAATAATGATCATCTCCCCCAAGGATAAATGAGAATTGATGTACTGGCCACAATCTCCTATTCATTCCATTATAAAATGCAGACACGAAAGGCACAAAGTCTCACTAGCTTACTTTATGCACTGGTGTTTCAGTGAGGGACTGGTGTAGATATGAATGTTGCATGTTGAGAATCCAGTGTGTATGGAGCTCAGGAATTGTGAAGCATGTATATGGAGATGGGGAATAGGGACTGAAAAGCATCCACTACAGGCATAAGGTTACCAAGTATCCTGTACCCTGACAACTTTATCAAGCCAGGGAGCCATAGATAGCTTTCAACTTAAGAGCTTGCTGCAGTTTTAATGGTAGTGAGGTTTTAGGCAAGATTATTTGTCACAGTGTGAGACTGTGGTGACACAAAAACTGAAAATAGATTGTTCATAGAGGAAACCTAATTCAGTCACCAAGAAGGCCAGAGGGGCTACACTCAACCGAGGGCACCCATGTTAGACAGACTCCCAGGAGTAGCACTGAAGCTGAGGACTCTCAGGCTTTTATTTAGGACCTTAGTGTAAGAGAAAATAAAACAGAAGAAAAGCTGTTTGGGCAAGTAGCTGTCTCAAGGCCAGGCAGTTTTCTTGGGGAAAGGGGAAGGACAATGGCCAGACATGACATGCCTCACTAATCTAAACTTCCTACTGTTTAACGATTCACTCCTCCCATGACGTGCATACTCTTGTCCCACAGTTTAACCATTCACTCATTGGCCAAGTCCTCCACAACTGTGCTTGATCCATAACCCTGTGTCATATCACATTAGTAGGAATAATCTGTAGATGCTGTCAGTGGTTCTGGTAAGGGCCTTCAAGCACATTCTTGAATCTCCCTTGAACAAAGTGTTCTCTGCCATGTAGCCCTTGAAATTATTCCAGGGAAATATTGGTGGTGGTGGATACACAGTGTCCTTTCTCACTATATTCACAGACAAGTAAGATGGAGAGCAGTTTTTAAGTAGGATATATAGACTTATGCGTAGGTGGTTGGGCCTAAAGTTCCACTGGAAGTTAAGGCTGGAAGTATAAATGATAGCTACAAAATGGTTGGATTACCATGGAATCAATCCCAGGTTATTTCAATCATGAGACTGAATGGAAAAGGGTTTGATGTACAGAAGACACCTCACCAAATCATCTGATGTTAGGGAGGTCACCACAATATTCAGAAAGACTAAAAGTAACTTCATTGAATGGTCATCGCTCCTGCTTGGTTACAAATTATATCATCTACATAATCTACTGCGGTACTGAGTAGTGAATTGTAGGGTGATACAGAGCCCCATCCAGCTGTCTCATGTGATCCCTGAGGATTCCCAAGTTGAGTCACTGACAGTGCCCTCTGGAGGATTTTTACATCCTCCTTCAGGTATTTGGGAGACATAGAAACCAGGAGCATGAAAACGGGGGAAGGCTTTATAGCACTCTTTTTTAGGTATGGTCTTTTGGTCACAGCTACTATCAGAGCTACAAAAGATGAGTATTAATGCTGAAGATGCTGACATCCTCTGTTTCTTCTTTTCTCCCTTAGGTAGTGACTCTTCCCTGCCCACTCTTGTCAGCTTTTATTCCTCTGTGGTTCACTTGCATCATTATGTCTCAGTATCAGGCAAATCGAGAATGCCTAGAGGATGAAGACCTTCAGACATGCAGTGACCCTCAAGGCCTAGAGAGTGCACAGGTCTTCAGAGATGATGAGGAGAAATTTCTCTCCTCCTCCAAACCTCTTGTGCCTGGCACCCTGGAGGAGGCTCCTGTGGCTGAGACACCCAGTACTTCCAAGGGTCTTCAGCATTCTTGTTTTTCTTCAAGCAATTCTGAGCAGGGTGCCAGTAGCCAAGAAAATCAGCAGATCTTATGCACCAAACAGGCTGCAATGGTCCCCGGGACTGTCCCTCACAATGATGTGGATGAGAAAGTGACTGTACTAGTGAATTTTATGCTGCTCAAGTATCAAATGAAAGAGCTAGTATGGAAAGCAGATATGTTGGAGATTATCATGCAAGAAGATGAGGAACACTTCCCAAAGATCCTACTGCAGGCCTGTCAGACCATGGAGATGGTGTTTGGCTTAGATGTAAAGTTACTGGATCCCTTCAACCACTGCTATGGGGTCTTCATCAAGCTTGGCCTCACCTATGATGGGATGGGGAGTGACGAAGACAGCGTGCCCAAAACTGGCCTCTTGATACTTCTCCTGGGTGTGATCTTCACAAAGGGCTCCTGTGTCCCAGAAGAGGAGGTCTGGACAGCACTGAAGCTGACAGGGATGTATCCTGGGAGGGTTCACTTTCTGTTTGGGGATCCCGGGGAGATCATCACCAAAGAATTTGTGAAGGAAAAGTATGTGGAGTACCGGCTGGTGGCCAACAGTGATCCTCCTCAGTATGAATTCCTGTGGGGCCCAAGAGCCTATGCTGAAACCAGCAAGATGAAAGTCCTGGGGTTTATGGCCAATATTCTGGGAACTGACCCATGTCATTTGCCAGTTCAGTATGTAGAGGCTGTGCTGGAGAAAGTAGAGAAAGCGCTCACCAGCATTTCCTTGTGGGCTGCCTCCAGGTTCAGGTCCATTGTAAGGTATTATGCTAGGGGCAGTAGTTTCTCCCATCCGTGGTCACAGGAGACGTGGGTTGTCACTTACTGTTCCAAAAGTAGCTAGTTTATTCCAAGTGCAGGCTTGTACTGAAAGAATGTAGGTACTGGTAGTGGGATGAGTCTGACAGGAAAACAGAATATATCATTCATATGTAGTTTTTAATGTATGATCTCACAATTTATTGGTTTGTTTTCTGAAGGTTGTAGTTTTCAACAAGACTTAATTCATTTAAAATAGATTTAGTTGAAATATTTTTAATATCCTAATCATACTATTCAAACATAATGTCATTTATGAGGTTAATTATCATTTCTATATGATAAAACAAATTTTAAAAGAATCAATTTTGTGTTGTAATGTGGGATAAAAAAATTGAATTTACAGAGATGTGTCTGTGGAAATATGACAGAAAATATCACAGAAAAATATCACTCGATGCACCTGGCATGAAGTGAAAGAAATTCTAAAAGTTATTCACTTTTTTTCTTTTTGTCTCTTGTTTTGTAAAATTAAAAGATTTATACATACCTTTGTTTAGCTCTTTTCTAGTGTATGAGAAATAAATCTTAATGAATTACATTATGTGCTTACTGGTTCGTTATTCTCCAAACGTGAATTGCATGCTAGCTCTTGGGAAAGCAGTGCACTACTGCTGGGATCCTAGGGTCAAGGGCACTGAGGATCCACTTGTAGAGTTTTAGCTAAAAGCAGTAGCCTTCTAGAGATGAAGATAAATCTTCTAATATCAAAAGCCAAACAGCAAGAGGTATGGGAAGGAGGAGAAGGAAGACAAGCCCACGTCAGTTTCTGCCATAAGTGTTTTCTTACAAGCATTCATTTGGCACACTTCAAATTCTTTAAAAGAACTCATTTTAGTTGAAGCTGGACTGTGTGTCAGGTGAGGCTGAAGGTAGGTGCACTCTCAAAATGTGTCTCTCAGATCCTAATTCCAAAAGTTTATGATGAGAATTGCTTATATGTGTTATCTACCCATCTTAGGCAATTCTGAAAGGATCCTCATGTATGCCAGAAATGGTAGACATTGTCCTGGCATGTTCAAAACAGTTGATCACTATACAAATGGAATATTTTATTTAAATCTTCTTCAATGATATTTTGAAGAACAAGGATGATGCTCTTTGAGATTGGTTACTAAAAGTCAGTTGTGTGTGGGAATGCATTTCCATAACCTAGAAGACCAATGCTTACTTCATTCAAAGCAATCTTTTTTTTTTTTTTTTTGGCGGGGGGAGTACTGGGTATTGAACCCAAGGCCTTCACACTATGATATATCCTCAGCCCTTTTAAATTGTTATTTTTGAGTCAGGATCTGGCCAATTGTTACATTGCCCAGGGTGTGTTAGAACTTAGCCTTCTGACTGAGTCTCCTAGAGTGTTGAGATTACAAATGTATTCCTCCACATCCTACTGAAAAGGGATTTTTAAGTAGATTGTCTAGCATATAATTTGTCAAGTAATAAATAAGAGAAAGCATTGGTTGGAGGAATGAAATGAGTAAAAGTAGGATTTAGATTGGAGGGAAACTTTGAGCAAGGGAAGGAATTTGCATTTCTGCAAAATTTCCATCCTGCTACTGAAGAAGGAAGCCTTTAATTCACATTAAATACTGAACCTTGAGGAAAAACAATATTATTTTACTTGATAAGGATAATTTTTGCCTGATAGTCCAGGATGCAATGCATTTTGTTTTCTGAGAGGATATGTATTTAGATCATACCCAGATAAAAGTAGATTTGAAGTCAACATAAAGCAATAGGTGCTCTTCAGCAAAAACCGAAAATAAGCCCAGGAGTTTACCATCTTCTTCATATACTTTACATGGTCTTAGAAGATATGAATTACTTAAAATTCTGTGATGACACCCTGTTCACAATGCTTGTGATTGTGTCCTGTTGCACATACCTGGTTCATGAACACAAAGACCAGACTTCTTGACTGAGTTCATCTAGAATTGACTCATGCACGTGGAATTACACCTCTGTCTCTGGCCTGGTTGCTATTGCCACAAATGCTTAATGACCCTGAGGATAGGAAAGAAAACACACTGTTCCCAATGAAGTTAAAGTGGAATTAAAGACAGAAAGTTGAAATAATATTCAAAAACAAATTTAGGCTTCTCGGGGATTGATTTGGCCAGAGTACTGTTTCCCCATCTGCCAAGATTTCTCGAGTACTGTCTTGGTCTCTGTGCTGATATTTTGCCTACTCCTTGCATTATAGCACAATTCTCCTGGTCATGTACAATGTGCCATCTTATTCATACGGAGGTCTGACAGACTGGCTGTTATGGATTAAAAACTGGTGATCAACTTAACACCAGCTGAATTAAATCAGCAGAGCATTGAGTGTGGATGTTCCACCTGAGAAAAGTTGCCACCATAGAGATGTGCAGAAGAGAGGCATTGAGGTGTTGGGGTGTTGGGGCATTGTGAATTCTCCTATGCATTGCTCTATGGAGCTGTCAGTTCTTTGGGAGAAGCTCTGGTCCTTACATTGATCATTGCTTCCTGGCTCTGGAGAGGAAGAATTGTGCTGCATAATCTCCAGCTGAACTCATCATGCTGGCTTCCTGGCATGTACTCGACTGTGCTTACCATTGAAGGAGCTTGGGCCTTTGATTTTGCTGATAATGGCTGTGGTATTTATCAGGACAGTCCTGGTCTTTGTGTTGGGCATGACTTATTGCCTTAAGTGTAGAACCCTCAAACTACTGGCACCACTCCTTCACCCTGCTGGCACAGACTTTCTAGCTTCCACCGCTGACCTTTGGGCTTTCCCAGCCTGGGCCCATAAAAGAAACTGGCATGAGTTCTTCTCATGGACTCTAGACCTCCAGTTGGACTTGTGGAAGGCATTGTCATGAACTCTGTGTATTCATCTGGACTCACATGGGACATTTCTGTGGGATTCAGGCCCTTGGCTGAATATTCTATGTCTTTGGTGTTGTGGATAGATTTCCTGGAGTTTTTTGTGTTAACTCTGGGTGACCATCATAAAACAATATAAATTCCATGTCCTGATTCTAACCGTTCTCCTCACAACTCTGACCTTCAATATCTCCTCCTGTAAAGGCTGCATCCTGTTCTCATGGGGAGAAACTGCAGAATCTCCTGCCCTCCCCCTTCCATAGAGCACTGCCACTCCTTGTCAGTCTCTTTCCTCATACTGCTATTCTTCTGGTGGCAGCTCACAGTGAAATTCCAGCATGACCATGCTGTTTGCAGCCCCAACCACATTTGACAAATGGTTTTCCAGAAAGCTGATGAGTATAGTCTCTTTTGCTGTCTCATTCCTTGAGAGATCAAATATTGAAGATGGAAAAAGTGAATGGAAGTCACAGGGACACTACAGTGGAATTTTCATAGGCTGGTATACTAGGAACTTGTTACTGATCACACAGATCTACAATGGAGCTTACCTGTGCAATCAAACACAAAAAATCAACTGAGTATCTCATATATGTCACCTGCAAGGAGTTTCCCAGGAGAAGGATGTCTCCTGAGATTCAAAAACTAAAATCTGAAGCTGTGAGTGTAATATGCCTAGGCCATTTGAAAGAAAATGAGATAAGTTCTCCTCATTGAATTTGGCAAACAATAAGAAAAGATAATGTGTTTTCAGGTGATATAAAGAACAAAAAAAGATAAGTTGGAACAATCTATCTTAATTACTTATACCCTATATATGCATGGTCAACAACATGGAACTCACTGGGTAGCAAACTTCATTGGATGTTTTTGTAAACTTCCTATAGTTCTTCAAGCAGTGAATCCTGTTTTATTGGAAGACATGGTGTCTTTGCTTAGCAAAGATAGAAATAATTTGACATATTTGCACTGCATCTTTTTTGACTTACAACCCAGGGCAAAAATTTTTGTTTTTGTCTCTTTTCTGTGGGCACAGTAGGCTTTCAAGCATGTTTCCACATCATGAAGACAGTAAAAATTTAGATTTTGATAATGAACCAGTAGGAAGTAGAGAACTGTCATGCTCCTAATACTTTAGAAATTATCACATAACTATGTGTAGAAAGTCATTCTTGTTTTTTTTGTTTTTTTGGTTTTTTTTGCCTAAAATGTAGCACAAAGGCCTGCTGATGGGATTGTGGGGATTGCTCTGGCCTACAGTCAATGGAGCCAGCTAGTCATGAACTGAAATCTCTGAAACCATGAATCAAAAGACAACTTTCCTCCTCCTAAATTGCTTGCTCAGGAATTTGCTCTCAGTGAGAACAACCTTACTAATAAAGGTATTACTGGATCCAGAATGCAAAGCATCAGGCATCCTGATGCATGCCTGGCATCCCAGGAACCACTTAGGTAGAGGAAAGTGAATGTAAGTTCACCCCAGATCACATAACAACTTAGTCAGACCCTGTCTGAAAATTATAAAAATAAATTAAAAATTGGAAAGAAATGTTTGTAAAGGTAGCTCTTTGTAATGGTCCTGGGTTCAGTACACAACACAAAAAAGGGTAGGTGGATTTCAGTTCTCACTGTGAGCCTGTGTGTGGAGATAATTCCTCAAAATAGAAAGACAATACAATGGGCTCTTTAAAAAAAAAGTTTGGAAAATATCAAGGAAATTGACCTTGGAAACTGAACCATGAACTCAAAGGGGCTTTATAAAAAATTATACCAGAGGGGCTGGGGATTTAACTCAGCGGCATAAGTGCCTGCCTTACAAGCAAGCAGTCGTGAGTTCGATCCCTGGTACCGGTAAAAACGAAAAAGACAAAAAAAAAAAAAGAAAGAAAAGAAAAAAGAAAAAAATTATACCAGCTTGTCTGCTAGGGACCTATATACAAGTGCAAGGGAACTGGAAAGTGCTTCTCTGTATCTGGTACTCTTCACCATCTTGAGCTTAGTGTTCTTGCAGTTATAAATAACCACATGACTAGGCCTTGCCATTTATGGATGAGTCAAATAATAGCTCTCTCTTGCAGGCTGCATTTTCAATATCCATTTTATCACCTTTCCCTTTTTTGTCTCCTTCAACAACAAAATCAGAGGTCACATTCCTAAGTAGAGCTCTGAGAGGAAAGCTGTGTAGACTCTTCGCTGTCTGTTAGCCCAGAATGTCT